AAAAAAAAAAAAAAAATTCTTACGTTAATTTGAGTTTGAAAATTACAGTAAAATAAACTGCTTAATTTGATGCCATTTAACGATGGCATTTTAGAAGATTTAAAAATTGCAACTCATCTTTGATCTAAACATATTACTTATATTAAAAAAAAAATACACACATCTCTTTTCTCACTTATCTATTTGTAATATTGTATGTATTTGAAAGAAAAAAAATAAGAGAAGGAACGTTATAATTGATAAACAGTTATGATTATAGACTTTTCAAAAGCAATTAAACAAGTAATTGTGCTGTTCTTAATCTTATTAAGACTGGTTTTTTTTTTCTTTCTTATTTTTTCTGTTAACCATATCGATGATGCAACAAGCAGTCTAAGATGGATTATTTCAAATGTTGTCACACCAAAAACAGCTATGATATAATGAATCAAGTGGTTTTTTTTTTTCTGTGTTTATTTGGCTGTCAGTTAAAGAAAAGCATAGCAAAATTGTTTTAAACAAACAAACAGCAACTCAAAGAACGTCTCAATTAGTCCAATTGACTACAATGGTTTCAGAAAATTCGGTGAGGCTTCCTGCTTTTTTCTTTAGCATTTTCTCCTATTATTATCTATTCTTTTTTTCCTTTATTTTTTGGCCAATTTAGGTTTTAAAAAAAAATGCTTATTGTACTTTCAAAGAAATACACCAATTAGATTTGTTCATTACTAATATTTGGCAAATTTTTTGCTTTAATTAGACGTTATGCCGATTAAAATTCCATCATATGCGTATGTTTGATAAAAAACACAAGAAAAAAAAAAAAAAAGAAGGAAGCAAATAAATTAACTGTTCTTACATAAAGCAGCATTTTTACAAAAAATAATTGAATTTTACGAAAAAATATGTATTATTTGAAAGTTAAGTTTTAAAAAATGTCAACGTAAATTTTTTAAAAGCAATTGCAATAACTGCAAAATAATCAGTTACACTTACTGAACGATTATCGACTATCACCTTTTATAGATGACAATTGTGAAAAACTGTAATAAATAGTAAAGCACAAATTAACTACTTTAGTTTATGCAAATTTTGATTTTTTTTCTTTTTTGTTTTTAGAAACATAGATTTAAAATGTTTATAGAAATTGTCAATTTTTAAATGTTTGCACCAAAATTTCTTATACATTGGAAGAATTTTTTTTCAGGTTTATTCTCGTGGTTTTCTATTTTTTGGCTTAATAATTATTGTAACATTATGCACAGTAATTATAATACTGTGTTCTACACATATGGGCATTTTTCGATGCAATATTGCCAAAATCTATCGTCTAAGAGAATCACCAAAAAAGCAGGTAAAGGTTTACACTTCTTCATTAAAGTGAGCATATTTTCAAAAGTTTTTAATTTTTATGTCTCTTTTTTCTTCTCTTAATTTAACTAAGCGGTAAATTTTGTTTACTGCTTTTTTAGTTTGAAAAACACATGAAAATGCTTAAAATCTGTTATATTCGCTGAAAATAAAAATTAATGATGTAAATTTATAAATTAACAAAAAAAAAAGAACGCTAAATGAACTTTGATATTTGTTAAAACCAATTTCTAAAATCTTAACATTCAATTGTTATATTTTCTTAAAGCAGGCAAAAAAAACTATCTTACTTTTCTTTAAAAGTAGTTCTAAAGAAAAAAATATTTAAAAAATGCTTTGCAAAAATCGTATATATATACTTTTTTTGTTGTTTATTATCAATTTCAGATTCGTTGGGTAAAAGCCGATAAGCTTACAATAACAGATAGAGTAAGTTTTTTGTAAACTTTATCAACCGTAACTAAGTCCAGCAGTGGTTTGAAAAAAACTTTTTAGCTGATTAATTGCATGATAAAAATTTACAGTACTTTATTGCAGCTATCCAACTTTTTAATTTTAAATAGTAAAAACAAAAAAATTTGACAAGAACAACTGATATAACTTTGTATTTTTAGCAGATTAACGCTACGGCTAAGACCTATCAGCTTAATGCTGCTTTTTTTGCAGTTGCAAATAAATTGGTGACTTGTCAATCTGTTCACAGAAAGCTAAAAAGCGATAAATTTTCTAAGAAAATATCATTTACTTCTTGTAAGATTCTGATACCTAATATTTTGTAATTGAAAACTTTTTATTTTTTTAAAGTTTTCTCAGGAGAAACAAATTTTCTAATATGTCAATCCGTTTTTTAAAAACCGTTTCTCTTCTTCTTCTTCTTTTTTTTCTTGTTTTTTTTTTTTAATTTTATAATTAGAGGTTGCTACAGAGTAAAATGCGACTAAAATTAATAGTGAAAAAACGGCCAAAAAAATAGCATAAAATTATAGTTCTTGTAATACACTTTGATATCAGGTTTATACTCATATCGCTTAGATGAGAAGCTTAGAACGACTTATGATTAAGTAAAGATTTTTGAAGTAAACTATGTTACAGTGAGATAAATGCTTGTCATTAAATTACTCTTTAAGCAGTGATTGAAAAAGTATTTGACTGCAGATAATTTAATCAAACCAAATCTGGTATAGTTTTCTGTTCTATCCGACTACTGTGGCAGAGGTTTATAAACAGAGGTTTTAGGATAAAATAAAGCGATCAAAAAACGCTTCTATCCAAGCAGCGAACTGTAAAAAGATAGGGCACAAATAAAATTGGTTGCTATTACAATTACAAAACCAAAATAGACAAAAAACTTTAATTAATTTTTTTTTTCAGAACTATTGCAAATGTTTAAAACTTTTGTTTTTTCACTAACTTGGACAGTATCTGCCTTCATGAAAACATATTTGAAGCTGATACAACTGTACAGCGTTGACGATGAATGAGCTGCAGCAAAAATAGAGCACTGTTTTAGAAGTTTGATATGCTAAAAATATTTTCTATTTCTAAGAGTCAAAAAAGCTAAAGGGGAAAATTTAAATAGACTAACTGAGTACTGAATATAGCATTGAATATCTGTACAGCAAGCTTCAATAAAGCATTTCAGGTCAGCAATCTTTTCTATAGTTTCAGTGCAGTTTATACTGTTGCTTTCCTGTAAAAATTAGAATTTGCTAGGTCTTCTTCAAGCTTTAAAATGTTAAGATTTCTAGATAAAAAAAAAAAAAAAAAAAGAAATATAAAAATAAGCAAGAGTTTTTTGTTGTCAAAAAAGAACAAACGAAACTTTTTTTTTTTTGCAGCAAGTAAAAAAATTTATTTTGCAAAACGATTGAGTGATAAACCATTCCATTGCTCGCTGCACTTTGTTGAAATTCAATGTCACAAATTGTTCAGAACTTTAAGCTTGCAGTCAGTGTTTCTAAGCATTCAATTCAAAAAAAAAAATGAAAAGTCTTTTTGAAAAGCTGTTTACTTGCTAAGTTTTCTATCAGAAACTTAGAAAATTATCCCAAGTGATTAAGTGAACACTGATAAATTGAAGATTTATAATTTTTGCCTAAAAATTTTGAAATTTTTTAACATATTGTTGCTCGGTTTATTTGTGAAGGTATGTCTTCTAGATTTAAAATATTTAGGTATTACTATAAGTGCTATCATGCAAAATTAAAATTTGCAAAAAAATAGACTTCATTTAATAGAAATCTAATTAATTATTTTAATGTAAAAACTACTGCATAAAATTTAGAGTTCTATACAGCGAAATAAATTACAAAGTAAATCCTTCCAAAAAATAATAAAAAGAAATTTTGAAGCCAGCTAAAAGATGCAGTAATTGCGCATTAAAAGTATAGAAAAATTCTTGTTAAGAAAGTTTCTTGTTAGAGTAATATTATGGCCAATTTAGTAAGAATTTGTATATAAACAACAGTATCAAGATAATTTTGTTGCTTGACAAAAGAAGTTGTAATGGCATAAGATTTTCAAAGTTTGGGTTTTCCCAATCCACTTTTTTTTTTGAAATTATTTTTACATTTTTTTCTTTAATATCAAATCCTGGAATAATTGTTGCTCAATAAAGGTACAACACCTCTTGCTTAACCAGTAAGCAATTTATGTAAACCTCCCAGTCCTTTTTAAGAATTAAATTTGTTGCTTTTAGTTTGGCTAATTTTTCTATGTAACCCTTAGATGTTCTTTGCAGCTTTTCGTTTACTAAAAGCTGCTGTCATTCAGCACTGCCTATTTTCGCTCGCAGGTTCCAACTAAAGTTACCGAAAATTCTGGGTGAAAAAGTTGCAGTTACGCTGTTGTTTCATCCTCCCTTGAAATTTTTAAACTAGTTTTGAAAAAACTCTAGAATTGACAGAATACATAGTCTGGATAATTAATTTAATATAAAAAAAGTAAAAAAAAATTAAGTATTGTAGATGTTTTTGTAAGAAATGAGAAGTGAGAGTCTTTTATAACCATTTTTTAGCTGAAGCTTGAAATATGTACAGTGACAACCTTTTGTATTAGACTTTCTCTATTAAAAGTTTGTCATATTAAAACTGGAATGGGTACAAATATGAAATTATCGCTTCACGCATAAGGCTGTAAACAACTTTATAAATTCTTGCTGGAGAAAAGTTTAGCAAATAATTTTGAAAACTTCACACTTTAGAAGGTGATAAAGCGTTTATTTTTCAAGGTGAACTTTGAAATACTTTTGAAATAAACATTTGAAACCGTCAAATTTAAATTTTGAAACTTTTGAAGAAAAATTTTCCAAAAGAATACAGTTTAGAGCAGAGTGGTTCCAGCCAGTACCTCTGAAAATACAAACAGCCGAAACTGTGATGTGTAAAATAACTATGTCATGGTAAATTCGATATGTATGGTTATGTAGTTTGACGTTTACAAAACAACTGAAATTTTGCAAGATTTCTTTCATAAGCTACTAAGTTTTCTGTAGAAGTATATATACAGCATATTTTTGTAAAAAATATTCAAGTTTAACAGGGATGTTGCAGAATCTTACAGCAATTCGATTGGAGGATAATGGCCATTGCTATCTTGCGCCATCTAGCAACCAGGTTGGTTATGAAAACTTCTTTTTTTCGGTATACCCAACTTTACTGTTTACTTGAGTCCATTTAACCTATTTTGAAGTTTAAAATTTTTAGGCAGAAAGGCTTTTAAATGTCGAGCTTGAGGAGTTGTCTGTATCGGATGTACAAAGAGTTGGTGGATTGTTAGCAGTAGTTTTTTGCAAAAACTTACCAGTTTTCTTCTTAAAACCCTTCATATACGGTAAGATTAATTCTGCATTAAACTACTGGAAAGATGTAGCTAAATTTGAGAAACTGTAATTATATATAAATGAAAAAATAATACAAGCAATATTTTATATCTTAAGATTTTGATAAAGTTATCAGAGGCTATTAAAATTGCATTAAGTTACATCGTATTAAATAAATCCATGGTTCTAAGCACTTTTACAAGCTTACTGA